GGTGGAGTGGTAGTTGGTACTGTAATCATAGCCTGAGGACCTGGTGGAGCACGCAGTGCTTGAGAAATCCGTGGAGGTGCACCCCTTCTAAGTCTGGGGCAATCCCTCACCACATGACGAGTGTCACCACACTCAAAACAAGCTCTCAGAGGACGTGGCTGCTGCGACTGGCTTGGGCCTGATCGGCTGGATTGACCGCTAAAAGCACCCCTACATGAGGTACAATAGACACTGGCGGTGCATAATAGGGATCATAGGGCCTAGGAGTGGCTGGAGCATCGCTGGCAGCTGGAAGTGCTGAATAAATAGGGCGACCCATATAACCCCTGCCCTGACGAACTGCAGCTGGGGCACGAGTACCACTATAAGTGCCAGACTCTCGAGACTTCTTGGCCTCTCTCTCCTCCCTCTCCCGAGTCAGCATACCCTCCAACCTCCTAGCAATCCTTACTACCTGCTGGTATGCAATATCCAACTCCAACTCTCGGGCCATGCTAAATTTGATATTGGGGTTGAGCCCCTCAATAAATCGACGAACCCACTCCCGGACAGTAGCCACCAAGGCTGGTGCATGCCTAGCCAAATCACTGAATCAGATCGCATACTCTGACATGGTCATAGAACCCTAGCGCAACTACTCAAACTCCGCGCACCATGCATCTATGACTGGGGAACATACTCCCTCAAGAACATATCTGAGAACTGAGTAAAATTGAGTGAAGCCGCCTCGGCTGGACTACCCAACTCATAAGCTCGCCACCACTGATAAGCCGCTCATTTAAGCTGGAACGTAGTGAAAGAAACCCCACTAGTCTCCGCAACACCCATAGTACGGAGGATACAATGGCACTCCTCAAGAAAACCATGGGCATCTTTTGATGCCAAGCCACTGAAAATAGGAGGGTGGTACTTCTTGTACCTCTCGAACCTTAACTGCTCTGCCTTGGAAACTGCTGCCCTAATCTCGGGCTGAACTGGAGCTACCGACTGCATCGGTATGATCTCTAGAACCCGGTTGACCTGAACCCGCTGCTCTGGGGTACGAGTGGCGGGAGTCTGTGCTCCTCCCCCGGCCTGAGATGTGGCAGGAGCGAGTGGTATCAATCCTGCCTGAGCCAAGGTCTCAACATGCTCAAAAACTGGGCTAGAGTCTCTTGGAGGACTGGTGTTGTAACAGGCATCTCAGGTACCTGCCCTCCAACTTGAGCTACTGGTGGCTCCTCTGTAGAAGCTCGTGCGGGTGACATGACTGCACTATGTACTACAAGATATAAGTTTCTCCGTAAATGAGACATTTACCATATGAATGGCGTGACAAAAGATCTTGTAGTACAAAAGTTGTTAAGAGCTCCGAAAAAATTAATTTGTTACTACCCGGATGAATAAAATTATTCACGACATTGATATTGTAAAGTCTCAAAAGAAACTTTTTGAGTTTCAAATGTATACGTCAAAGTGGTTGGCATTTTGACACTATAAATGAATGAAATATTGAATATCTTCATATTTCTATAATTATAACGGGTAAATATGAAAGATTACCCGATTTTTTTTCTATTTGTACTATACAAATATAAGCATGATGATGGAATCATATGTCACAAGTAAGCTAGAGGTTTACTGAAACAAATATTAGTTGGCATGACCGGTTGACCATCTCGGTTCAATTATGATGCGAAAAAATTAATTGAGAATTACATTGGCATATATTGAAGAAATATAAGATTCTTCAAGAATTCTCTTGTGCTGCTTATTCTCATGATATACCAGTTAAGGTTGGGATTGAATCCCTTGATTTCTGGAACGAATAAAAGGTGATAAATATATGGGCCCAGTCACCTTCCATGTGGACCGTTTACTATTATATGATTTTAATAGATGCATCTATTTTATGGTCACATGTGCATTTGTTATCAACTTGTAGTTTGGCTTTTGCAAGATTGATTGCTCAAATTATTAGAGCACAGTTCCAGAATATAAATTATGATGATTTATCTTGATAATACTGGTTTAAATTCAAGTTGGTTTAGCAGAAATTGTATGCCTCCAATTATATCTAAACCATTGGTTATGAGAACAAAATTGCCAAAATAAAATTTGGTATGTGATGTATTATTTAATATACAACAGCACTTGTACGCATCTAGCCAAGTTATGATAAGTTCTCCCTATCACAATCGGTTCAGGGTCAGGAACCAAATAATTTCCATCTAGAAATATGAATGTGCTATATGATTTAATTGTTCCACCACAATGCACAAAGATGGATCCCCAAATAAGGCTAGGGATATGTGTTGGTGATCCCAACAATAGGGGGAGAAAATGGGCAGCTGAAAAAGTAATGCATGTAATGAATTATTATGAGTACATCGAGATCCTCGTACGACTTAATGTGAACTTCAAGTTTAAGTGATAATTCATTTGCAAAATATTGCCAGGCGTATTTGCTGACCCAAAGCTAAATGTCATATTCAGCTGCTAATGCTCCAAATAAAATAAAGTTCATAATGGATATAGTCCATGCATAAAGCATAATAGACTAATCGGTTCCAAAGATAAAACTCCTTGAAGAAGGAGAGGAGCAAATATTCAAGATGGTCATAATAAGGAGGCAAGTGCTCTAGAAGAGCACCACGACATAACACTTCATAAGCCCCCATGGGAGAGGCTCAGGTACCTGAAAATAATAAGATAAAGAAATCTCAATAAGTTATGTCTTTATTGGGTAATAGTAGAACCGATATAAAATGATCATCGACGATATTGTTAATGTAGCGCTCAATATTATTAATATTGACGAGGATCTTGAGATCAAATCTGTCATGAAATTTGGACAGATAAATGATTGGCCAAATGAAAAATACGCAATCAAAATTAATTTCACATGAAAAATATGAAGTTAGACGGATAGTCCCAACACCTGAAAGTGTAAAGCCAATGGAGATATAAATGTGTTCTTGTGCGGAAAAAAAAGGGTCAAGTTGATAGATATAAAGACGACTTGTATCACAAGAAGATTTGTAAATATCCTAGCATTGATTATATAGAGACATGTTCTCCTGTGGTGGATGTCGCCATTTCAGGTTTTAATCTGGCAATACAAGAAAAACATGATATGCGTATAATGGAAATTATTGAAGGATTTAAATTGTTCTGAAGCATATTAAGGTTTCCAAGAAATTTATTAAATAAAGCTTCAAAAATCCTTATACAGATTGAAACAATCAGGGCGCATGTGGTATAATCGCCTGAGTGAGTACCTGTTGAAAGAAGGGTACAAGAATGATTCAATTTGTCCTTGTGTCTTTATAAAAAGATCTGGATCTAAATTTATTATAATCACCGTGTATGTTGATGATTTAAATATCATTGGAATTCCCAGGGAGCTTCCTAAAGTAGTAAACTATTTAAAGAAAGAATTTGAAATGAAAGATCTTGAAAAGACAAAATTTTGTCTTAGTCTACAAATTGAGTATATGAAAGATGGAATTTTTGTCTATCAATCAACATACACTAAAATGATTTTAAAGCGATTTTATATGGATAAAGCACATCCATTCCGACCTCGTGAAAATAATGAAGAGTTTCTTGGTCCCGACGTACCAGATCTTAATGCAATTAGGGCACTAATGTATCTTTCTAACATTACAAGGTCTGACATAACTTTTTCAGTTAATGTCTTAACAAGATATAGCTCTGCTCCTACAAGGAGACATTGAAATTGAATCAAACATATATTGCGGTATCTAAAATGGACTACCGGTATGGGATTATTTTATGGCAATGATTGCAGTCCTGATCTTGTTGGTTATGCCGATGCTGGGTATTTATATGACCCACAAAAGGTTCGATCTCAAACAGGCTATGTGTTTACATATGGAGGCACTGCCATATCTTGGCGATCGACTAAGCAATCAATCGTGGCTACTTCATCTAATCATGCTGAGATAATTGCTATTCATGAAGCAAGTCGAGAATGTGTATGATTGAGGTCTATAAGACAATTTATTCGAGACAAATATGGTTTGAAGTGTGACAAATTACCCATAATTTTGTATGAAGACAATGCAGCATACATAGCCCAGTTGAAGGGAGGATTCATAAAAGGGAATAGGACAAAACACATTTTATCAAAGTTATTTTTCACACATGTTCTTCAAAGATCGAACATAGACTTTAGGGCTTTGGGCCATTCCAACAATAACAGTGAATGATCAGTTTCTTTGGGTCAATACAACGAAAAGTTCCTATTTTTAGAGGTTAATTTAAATAAGTGAGAATGTCATATACAGAATTACAAATGTTCACAATGTCAAGAATAACTTGGGCTAGTATGTGCCATGTCAGTTAGGTGTGTCTAATATAGGCACAGTTTTAGTAGAGTTAGGTGTTCAATAGATTATGAGATTAATATTGGAGTAATATTATTTTCTACAGTAAAACAGTGGGAATTAATTAATTCATTAATCTACACATATATCCCAATCAAGAAACTATCTAATTAATTACATTGCCCAATATTTTTTGCTCAAACAATAAATTTGTGCTAAGAAAATTATTAAATATATACAAGTATTAACCCAGTTATTAGCACTTGAAGTCGTCATTCTAAAATGTTGAGCCAATAAAGTTGAAATCCTAATCTTGATATTCACAAAGAGCAAGGTGTGGAGTTATTGGAGGGAAGGATGCCGAGGGTCTATTGGAAACAGCCTCTCTACCTCATGGTAGGAGTAAGGTCTGCGTACACACTACTCTCCCCAGACTCCACTAGTGGGATTATAGTGGGTTGTTGTTGTTGTTGATATTCACAAACTTCATATATATACTAGTCAGTTAATTAGAATTGATAATGATGAATATAGAGGGAATCCTTAATTTTAACCCTCTTAAAACTCTCCAGGATCATATGGGGTTTTCTCAAGATAGAAGTAAGCATTTGATGCTTAATTATATCCAACAATAAGTTGACTAGACATAAATAATAGCATGGCATTAATGAATCAGTTCATTCATTACATAAGAAAGATACATAATCAGACCTATATAAATTCAGCTATCACGCGTAAGTCGTAACACATTTAAAAGGTACATAAAATGTGTTAATTTGAAAAAGAAAACAACATAAAAAAAGTTATGCAATAAGTTAAGAAACAAGGACACTTTTTAACCTTACTTTCCAAATAAGTCAACCATTAGTCCCCTCGGGGACATATGATAAAATTGGAAACAATTAGTATGGCCTTTGCGCAAGGATGATACACACAAATTGAATAACAGTTCCAAAATAGTCTACCATTCAACCCCATGAAAATTAGCCAGATTTTCACCATAGACATTAACCCTTCCATAATCTCCAAAACTTTGTGCAAAATTGCCATTATTAAAACTCTGAATAAATTCAGGTCTTTTTGCGAATTTTGTAACATGTTCATGACCATGAACACCAATGTTATTATTATAACTAATAGTAGTATTACTACTAGTTATAATATTATTATCATTGGTTGATTTAGAAGGTTCTTCATTTCTAGCCATGATATTTTTTTCCCCTTCAGTTTCTCTATACTTATTGAGATAACCTTTTAAGGGTCCAACATAATTCTCAAACCCTAATGTTGTCATAGCCCACAAAAGATCGTCTCCATTAATGGTCTTCCTCTTCTCCCTCTGGCATTTATCCGATGCTTCGCCTGTGATGAAGCTAATGAACTCAGACACACATTCTTGGACAGTTTCTTTGGCTTCTTTTGAGATTTTTGCATTAGCAGGAAGGGATTTTTTCATTATTCTGCTAACATTGGCTATAGGGAGGAATTTGTCTAGCTCTTTGGAGGAGTTATCGGACACGTTGCCCGATAACGGGCTACCAACCGGGCTGTTTTGGCTTCTTTTTCCGGTCATAGTTAAGAAGAAGAAGAAGAAAAGAGGAGATGTTTGGAAATTTTGGGATATGATAGTGATGTTAGTATGTGGAATATTGAAAGGGATGAGGGGGGGCTTTTTAAGCTAACATTAGAAGGAAAAAGAAACAATAGAAAAAGAGTGGACAGGCGGTTTGATGGGGACAGAAAAAGGATATATTTAAAATATGAGTTGATCTTCAAAAGGATGGAGTAGGAAGTCGTGGAATTCACCCTCACTAGTAAAAACTATATAAATATATGAATATTTATTCGCACTTAATATTTACATGTTCAAGCAATATAATTTTAGTAGGTAAAAATTAAAGCGAAATTGCATCTCACTTAGTCACGAGTGTGTGTGCAAAAGTTCAATATTTGCTATTACTAAAAAAGTTGTCGAGTAAAAGTGGAAAAAGAAGAAAGTCATAGAAAGTTAACAAGAAAAGATGGGGGGATTATTTTAATACTACAAATATGAGCTCTATTGCTTAATAATTTATATATTTTATTCGTGTATTATGAGCTCTTTCTTATTGTTTTGGACATGAAAACTTTTTTCACAAACTCCACTATAAGGTGAGTGGGAGGGGCGGCTTGGTAGTAGAGATTGATGCTTTAATTAATAACTAATCACTATCTGACTTTTTGCTTAAGTTGACAAAATTACTTAATTAACTTTTAGCTCCTTCTGTTTAACCACATCACACTTTTAGTAGAGTTTTAACAAGAATGAAAATGCACGCAACAAAACTGATACACTGTTGAGGAATCTCCTTGGCTTATATATGGTCCTAAACTTTTTCTTATTGCTGGACGTTTGATAGTTTAAAAAAGATTTATATACAGTGTATTTTACGATGTTACGTTGTAATAAGTAACTTGTCATACTTTTCAAAAAACTTATCCAACTTATTACGAATGATTAACTAGTATATTTTAAGCGAACTAATAATACAATTTACTTCAGTGTGTAAATCTGTGTTTTGTTTGTTTTTTAGTAGTTTTCTTACGCGAATTGCCAAGGGTATGATATATACTTCTATTTACATAATCCACAATAAACGGACAATTATAACTAATAATAAACTAAAGCATATGTGTTTTCTTCGTCAAGGACCTTAGCTTAACCGTTTGAGATGAACCTTTATTGTGAATTTTGCGCAATATATTTAATGGAGAATGTTAGGATTAATTTATACTTTGACCCTCCGATCTTTGGAATCTTTTATTTGTTGTCAGATGTAAAAGTTATTAAAAATTGGGCGATTGGCAGAAATAAGATACTTCGGTCCCACTATTGATTTTTTTACTGGCAGAAAGGTCTGGAAAAAATAGCCAACGCCTTAATATTGGGATGTGCTCTTGACAATCTCCAGAATTATTCATATGGTTATCAACACGATTTGCCATAAAACATGACAATCGCTAGAAATTTTCATAGGGTAGCACCAGGATGTGAAAAAATATGACAAATCGCCGGAAATTTTCATATGTTGATCACTAAAATTTGCAAAAATATAGCAATCACCAGAAATTTTCATTTGGTGGTCACCATTTGACACAAAATATGACAATCGTCGAAATTTTTCATATGGAAAAATTCTGACTGCAACATACTTCAAAATTATGGCAGGGAGGTTATTTTACCAAAATTTTCTTAATGTCGTCAAAATATAACGGTAGTTAACTAGTTATAAAAGGTCTATCCGACATAATTTCAAGTTAAAAATTAATGTTGGATATTTGATTATCAAAAACGAGTTTTTGGTATATTTTTTCTTTTCAAAGAGGGTAGGATCATGGTTCCTTGTAATGCTCTTGGAATCAATGCTGGTTTTGCCTTTTAATTTGTGGAAATTGACATATTTCAATTCTTACACATTATACTCTATACTTCTATTTACATACTTATTATTTATGATGACGGTTCTTTGTATATTATGAGCAATTTTCCATAAAAAGTGAGGCTAGTAACGTAAAAAATAAGATAGATTACTTCTTATAAAAAGGTTAAAAGCTTTTTACATGATCAATATATATATATATATAGGTTAAAATCTAAATAATATCATAACAGTTTGCGAGCGTACAAAAGTTCAGTGGTAAATATTCCTTCAAATCATAATAAAATCATATGACAAAGAATTCATATATTGGCCTTCTTTTCAATAACTTTTACTACTTGATCTTAGTAAAGATGTCTGATAGTACATAAAAATACATTCTATCTCCATTTCTGCCTCAACAAGTTCCCGAACAAAGGTATCCTATTAAAAGCTTCCCATTCCTATTATGAAAAAGCTTTACCCTTGGCCATATATGGCTATTCATGGGTGCTAGTTAAAAATTGAACAAAATTCTTTCTTATTTGGCATTTGAGGATCATATTTATGTTTGGCAAAATATATTATGCAATCCTTCACCTCACATGCAATTAATATTTTGAAGATTTGTGAAGATCATGGGGTTCAAATTCTTGGATGGTGTTTGCACTAAAATGCACAATAAGGTGATAAAGGTATTTTTTTTTTTTTTTTTTTTTTTTTTTCTTATAATGATAGTATCCAAACTAACTTTTTCCGTCCACCAAGATATAAAGATTGAAAAAAATCATGTAATATATTTTTATCGAATTTTGAACCCTAATCTAAAAGACTTGCACCAATTTTATTAACCACTTGACTGCAGCGTTGGATGCGTGACAAAGGTATATATCTTTGCGCGGCAAAGAAAATAAAAGTAGAGAAAAAGGGGAGGGAAGTGCATAAGTTCTTTTCTTTCTTATTTTCCTCCTTTGTATTTGTGGGTGTCCCCCTAGATTCCATGTATTAAATCAATCACTTAAGGCTATGATTTGACATTGTATTCTTCAGATCTTGTTATTTGAAGAAGTTAAAATTGAAGAGACACAAAGATGCGTGCTAATCTTTACTTTGTTGTTATGTGTTTTGAGATCATATTTTAAAAAGCACTTTTGAAAGTTGTTGCATGACAAGAATTTCTTGATCATGCTCTACACTACTATTTTTTTTCTTATCTCGAGGTATTTTTGGCTTAGCGATATAAAGGCCCCGTTTGTCCGTAATTTTTTTTTTCAAAAATAATTTCAAAAATACGTTTGTTCATGAAAATTTGCAAGTTTTTAAAAAAATTTCGAAAACTAGTTTTTCAAAAATTCTCCACTCACAAAACTGCAATATTTTTCAAGTAAAATGCATGTCTAAACATATTTAAATTCCAAATATCATTTTTCAACTTAACTCTAAATAGTACTTTTTTCAAAAATTACAATTTTATGTCCAAACGCCTACAAAGCATGCTGAAAAAGCTAGTTTTGTAGATAAATTCTATTTTGACTCGAAAATGTACTCATTGCTCATTTTTTCTTGACTTTCATAGGTTTAATTTTAGTTTGAGTAGGGATTAAGAATCCAATTTCATTGCTTGAGTTTCAAATAGGTGATTGGGATTGTCAAAACCAGCTTCAATTCAGGTCTTCCAAATCTATTAAGAAAAAAAGATGTCATAAACAGGTTAAAAGGTCAGGAGCTGAGCCTCTTTGAATTTTGATATTCTAATTAAGAGTTATATCATGGACAAGTCAGGAGTCGACCTATCTTAAAAATAATGACTCTTCGTATGTCTCAAAACCGGTTTTAGTAAGGTATCAAACATGATGTTGCAAACCAAACCTAAAGATCAATTCATGAAATAATATAATTGAGCAAGCCGCCCCCAACCCTCTCCCTCTTAACAAGATGTAACCAGTTCAAGCGTCGAGAAAAAAATCATGTAGGATTCTTTCTAATGAGTCCAACGTGACGCAAATCTAAATTAATGGGGTTAATATACAAGTGTATTTCAGTGTTGAGTATTGAGTTCTATTTTTAGATTTGTATCCAACAAGTAAACTATTGTCAAGGATTTTTTTCTCTGATCCCTTATTCACGGCCCTACCGCTCCTTCAAATTAAATACTAAAAAGAAAATTGCCAAATAGCAATTTTCAGATTTTGCTTCTCTAGGAGGGAGATCTGTCATCAAATAAGTTGGTTTTATTCTAGCTACTTCTAATCAACTATTTATTTTATAGTCTTTATTCACACTTTGCTAAGGGTTTGCTGAGCTAAATGTTCTAGTTCAACAATAAAAACTGGTAACTTCAGTTTCAAAAGGGCCATCTACTATAATTTAATTGTATTACTACCAGCTCAGCTTAACTCATAATATTACAAAATTGTGCCAAATGGCAACATTTACAAGCTTTTCAATTTGCAGATAGTAGTGAAGTACATTGTACTATCCCTAATAGCTGTCTCTTTAATCAACTCAGAAGATGCTAAGTGTTTAAATACTGATACGCAAAAAGAATACTCGCGCCGTCGTTCATGAATTTTGAGAGTCAAACTTAAACTTTTTAATATTGATCGTAAATTCAAATTATATAATATTTTAAAATAAAATCTACATATTTAAAAATTACGTAAAAAGTATATTATAAGTCACAATAATTAACAATTCAAACAATTAAAAGGCATATGAAAAAATCGCGATAATTGAAAAACTCGTTTGACTCTCAAAATCCAAACATTACCATGTAAATGAGATAGAGGGATTGATTAAAAATTTGCCATCGATGGAAGTTTTTTGTTACTAGATGATTCTAGTTAAATGATTTATTATGACTTTAAATAATAAAGTCAAAAATTGGTAGAAAATTAACAAGGTGGAACGGGATAAGGGAAAGGATCCAAACAAAACCATTTGATCACCTAAAAACAAGCATAGACTTTAAGAGAATGATTTATTATATTTTGACCTTGAGAAGAAGTTGGATTTTGTCTCGCCCAAACCAAAAACAATCTTAAAAATAAACTTTGGAAATTTTTTAAATTTTGATATTACGAGCTGGTCAATGAAGAGGATATGGATTTTAATTAGTTTTTCTAACATACTAATATAAAAAAGAGATTTTTTCCTTTCTATATAATATTTGAAATTTATTTACTAAAATTATCATAGTTTTATATATTACCCGCCCTAAATAAGGATTACTTACAAATTA